CAGTGCTGCGGAAATATGATCGACCACTCGGAGTCCTTGTTGGACTGTGGAGTGTTGTGAACGAAATCCGAACTGATGGGAAGGAAGATTTTGGGATTCTATAAAAGGTAGGATTCGTTTCAGGAGGATCTTTTCAAAGATTTTGGAGAGGATTGGAAGTAGGCTAATTGGTCTGTAGGACGTAGAGGTGTTGGGAGATTTGCCTGGTTTCGGAAACAGGATAATATTGGAATGTTTCCACAAAAGAGGAAATTGGGTGGTTCTAAGGATGGTATTGTATAAATAAGTGAGAAATATAACGGCTTTAGGAGGGAGCTGTCGAAGGATTTGAGAGGTAAGGAGGTTGTATCCAGGAGATTTACGAAGAGGAAGTTTTTGTAAGTGATGTTTGACCTCAGAAGGATTAATTGCTTTAGGGGCTAAGAAAAGTGGAATGGGTGAGGTAAGGAATTCTTCTACTGTTATGGCATGGGTGGGGTTGGATTCGGGAAGTGAGGTGAATGTACTGGAGAGGTGTCTGGCGAATTCCTCAGCTTTGTCTTCAACAGACGCTGTCCAGGAGCCATCGCATGGACGGAGGGGAAGGGTAATATGAGGGGATTTAAGGATTATGTTGGTGATCTTCCATAGAGAATTGTCGTGAACAGAGAGGGAAGTAAGGTAGGAGTTGAAGGATTGGGATTTGAAGATGGCCAATTCCTGCTTTAATCGTTTAGTGAAATAATTATAAGAGCGCCGATCGGTGGGGTGTCTTGAACGTTGCCATAATATTCGGGCACGGCGTTTGATATGAATTAGATCTAGCAGGTGCTGAGGTAAATTATTTTTCTTAGGAATTTTCGAGGAGAAATTTGGAGAGGAAGCAGTGCAGATTGCTTGCTGAATAGTAGTGGTAACAGAATTTACTGCATTATCGAGGTCTTCTGGGCTTTTCAGAGTTCAATTTTCAGAGCGATCTCTCCTGTTTCAGCTGGTACGTGTGGAAATTTGCATTAGTTTCTGACAGGTACTTCACAATTTTTCGGTAGGCTTCTGCAGTATCAGATGTTATTTTTGTGTCGTTAGTCCTATTGAGGCAAGGATAACTGCCGGAGCAGATTTCGTTTTGTTGTGTACACAGTAGTTGGAAATTTTTGATATTTTTTACAAATATCGGATGAGGCCTAGGTTCCCTGGATATTGCTGCTGACTCCATTACTCCTCTGTCATTATGAAGCACTTGGAACGGGTATGGAGAGAAGAAAGGAGATTCTTCAACCATTTCTTGCGAAGAGGTACCTGGTTGAGGCTGAGGTTCTGGACCTGAAGTTTTCACTGTGGTTATTGGAGCTATTTCTCGCAGGCAGCGACGAGTTCTTTGTTTCGCTGGGGAATCACGAGGGGTACTAACACCGTCTGACCAATTCCTCTTAGTGGGAACCTTACTGGACATCACTTGCTGGCAATGCGGCATATCATAAGAGAAAAAAAAATTAAAAATTAAAAAAAAAATGTAGCAAACAGTAAATAACAACTGCTGTGGTGTACACTTCAATTGTATTCAGTAAATAATCAAAGAGATTCCGCTGAAAAATAAGCAAAAACTGAGAGAAGATTTCGGAATACGACCTTCGCATCAGCTGATCCACTGCCTTCTTCGACGTCATTAATGCTTAGTTATGTTTTTCGCTAACTAGATTTAAATTTTAACTTTTAAATTTTATTTAACTAATTGTTAAATTAAAAAACAATCATCACTAACTGAACTGTGTCTTCATAATTTTTAAGGATGTTTGATATTGATGTTGTGAGTCTAAAACTAGTTAAATTCGAAATATAGAAAGTAGATTCTTGAAAAATGATGCTAACTGTAAGTGCATTATTACAGTGTTAGCTTTTTGATGGTGGTTTGCTAATGAGATGTGAACGGGTTCTATTGGTATATCCTGTTCTATGCGGATAGGACAGTTTGATGTTGATCCCGGTTACAAAATATTTCTTTTTTGAGGGGAAGACATATCTTGTGGTGTTAATATGGCAGTACCCCGTTCTGGAAGGCTAAACGCCAAACTCTCATTGCCAGTGATCCCTATGTGACTCAGCACCCATACAAGATATACTACTTTTCCCAATGTTTCGAGCATGTTTAGATATGTATGGATTTTTTTTATGGTTGTCTGCTTCGGATACCTTCTTTTCAAACCCTTTAGGGAACTTAATGAACAGAATTACGGAAGGTTTCGAGTACATGTCCTTTAAATCTTTTAATGAACTCAAAGATTCGGTAATTAAAACTATATTATTTGTAGTTATTGACATACAGAAGTGGAGGGCTGGGGCTGTTGCATGAAGTTGTATACACACTACATACTCTGTGAAGTTTTATTTTGTGGGTGGAATTATGAGTAAGAAAAGAAGCTGTAGATTCGTTGGATTCGGACCCATCATTAAAGGTTAAAAAAGATTCTTGTAATTTTTGTACGAGATGTGAAAATTTGGTTTTGTATTCAGTAGGTCAAGTTTGATTTTTAGGTTACTTGCCTATGTTTAGGATTGTTTTTGGCTGTTTGTTTATCCATTTAGGTTATGGATTTCTTGGTTGATCAAGGGTATTTCATTGATGAACGTTATAGTTGAATTAAATCTTTTTGATAAAGGAAGGGTAGAGTTTGTTTAATTATCAAAAGCCATGGAAAAGTTTGGTTTGAAAATATATCTGTGTGTAGGATGTTCGGTTTGGGAAAGAAGTCTGGAAATTTAATTGATTTCCAGTATTTTTCCTTCTAAATAAAAGATGGAATACTCCAGACTCAGAGCACAAACTGAGAACGAAGCTGGTTCCAAACACGCCAGTTGCAATCCGAATTCCGGTATAATGCACCGCACCCGTAGACAAAACATCCATAATTTAGTTTTGAGTACACCAAGACGTGGTAAAGTTTTACAAGTGTGGATCTGTCAGAGCCCCTTGAGGTACCACTCAGAAATTTTATTATATACAGTTTTTTTGCTGTGGTTGATTTAAGTGCCGTAATGTGTGATTCCCATGTCAGTTTCTGATCTATTGTCATTCCCAAAAATTGATGTTTGTTAGTGTAATGTATCAATAAATTGCCTGGGAAGAGTTCAGGAGAGGGAGATTGTTTCTGTTTCTGCTGAAATATACACATTTTGTATTTTCGGTAGAGAACTGGGGACCTGTGGAATGAGACCAGTTGTTTATTCTGTTAGTGGGGTCTTATAATTTACCTTCTATGATGTGAATGTTTTTAGAATAGGGGCTTGACATCTCTTGGTATGTTGAGTCCCAGGTCATTTATAGCCAAGCAGTAAAGAGTTGGGCTAAGGCCACAACTCTGTGGACACCGCTGATCTGATCACTGTCTTCAGATAATTCGCAACCTACTCTAACTCTAAAGTGGCAATTTGAGAGGAACTGGCTTATATTGCGAAACATTTGTTCTTTGATTCCGAAGGATAATAATTTATTCAAGATTTTTGTGTGTTTAATGCTGTCAAATGCCTTTTTCATACCAAAGAATATCGAAAGAAAGAACTGTTGAGTGTTAAAAAAAGGCATACTGTGCCTCTGCCTCTAATGCAACCAGATGATCGATTGTGCATCTGACTTAAATAACTGAAACAGATTATTGCTTTCTATAATCCACATTAATCTTTTATTTACTTCTCTGTAGCTGTAGAACAGGCTATCAAAATACTTCAGAGCTAGAGGACATCAAAAAACAAATTTACTGAAAAAAGGAATGCACTACCCAATTTGAACTGTTGTAACCTATCGATGGAGGCAGAAATGTGGCCTTGAACTATAGCACTCTGTTGAATCGACTCCAAAGCTCGAGCTAAAGGTCACCAGTGAGGTACCCGAACCATGTAGTTGATCGCGACATGGGTCACATCTTTATGGAATTTTAATAACTGTGAAAAAAAAAATTGCAGTGTTTAATGACTATCATCGAATTACTAAGCGCTGAGAAAAAAAATGAATTTTTCTCGTTATCTTCTTTAAAAATTGAAATTACATTATACTTATAACAATCCATTTTAGAAACTTCGCAACGCTGCTAGCCAATAACTAAATACCCATAACCAAATAATAATAATGAATTATATGTTTATTCTAGGACAAATCCTTATATTATAATATTACAGAAAACGAAAATATGACTTTAAGACCTTAGATATAAATGAAGAAAACAAAATAATGTACAAATAGAAAATATAATAATTATGAAATAAATTCTAAAGCTACTAAAATAAAAACAAGAAAAAGAATAATAATAAAAAGAATAAATAAGGTATAAGTACATAGCAACATTTGTTTTTTAAAAGGATAAGAAATATATATTTACAGTGCTTATATGACTTTATATATATATATAAGTTTGTTCGATTTTTGAAGGGTGAAATAAAACTAGTTTTTTTCATAGAAAGAATAAATTTGATTCAATAATTTATTCACCGTTTTTATTATTGACCTCTTTTCATCTTTCTAACAATTTCATAATTCCGCTGTCTTAAAACTTCTGGAGCTCAGAAGCAATAAACTGGTCGAGATATGTTTGCACACCTCTCTCATTACCGAACGATTTCCCGTTGAGGGATTTTTGGAGGGATTGAAATAAGTGATAGTCGGATGGTGCAATGTCCGAAAAATACGATGAATGTAATAAAATATCCCGGCCAAGATGCATTAACTAACCTTTGCTGTGTGATTATTGCGTAGTGTGGTCTGGAGTTGTGATGGTGGAATACACCTTTGCGATTGACTAGTTCTGGGAATTTCTGTAGCAATTCTTAGTCTGATTTCATTAGCTGGGTGTAGCGCATCTTCCAACCAATCGTTTTCCCTTGTGGAAACAACTCGTAAAACAGCACGCCGCGATAATCCCACCATATGGAGAGAAGAATCTTTTTCGGATGTACGCCGATCTTCGGAGTGGCATAAGGCGGCTAATTAGCGCTTGTCCTGCGAACCAGTCACTTTTCGTTTGAGAAATGGGTCACTTTCGTGCCGGTTCAGAAGAGAGTTTCAGAGTTATATCAGGCGAAGCTGTTTTAAATGCCTTCGAACGGTTCCAAGGCATATTGTTAGTGTCTCCGCACCGCTCTTGTTCGATTAGAACCGTGATATCACTCGAAGCAACCTCGGTAGGCCGATAGATGCGGGGTGCATCTTGGAGACTGTTATCTCCTAAATGAAACTTATTAAACCATTTTTGAGCAATACGTTCTGTCATGGCATCGTCCCCATATACCTTACATATCATTCGGTAGACCTCCAAAGCTCGCTTGCCTTTTTTTAAATAAAAAAACAAAATATACCGAAAATGCACTTGATCATTTAGCATATTCACTACGCTGTAGCACAAACAAAACTAGTGTCACTGAAACGAAACACAATAGTTTCGAAGAGTGTCATTATTGTTAGATAAGGCAAAGATAATTGGAGATATTTTAAAACAATGTGCACTACTAACGAAAACCGAACGAACTTATAGATCCTCCCAATAATTCAAATGATAAAATTGAGGATCGCTAACATTAGCTATGTTATTAGGTAATCAATTTACAAATTTATTGCAGTCTAATGGTAATAATTATATCAAAAGTGCCTTATAGTTATCTTTTGCCCTATAATGATGTATGAACAAATAATTTTATTCTGGGACTTCAGTAGCCTAAGAATAATAGCAGTGTTACAAATTTATGGGTATTAGTCTGGCTTAAAATAATAAAAAATACAAACTACTTAACTGCTTATTGTTCTTGCAGTAGATTGAAATTAAACAGTAAACAGATACAAGCAATTTTACATGTTAACGGAAGTTTGAATGTGGAGTAGGTGGTGGAACAGGAATTGTTTGAAGGAATTTGTGGACGAGGATTGACGTATGGAGGTAGGAAGAGAGTTCCAAAAGGAGGTAGCACGAATGACGAAGGATTTGCTGAAGGAAGTAGTTTTATGGGAGAGGATATATAAATCTATAGGTTGAGATCTAGTATTAAGAGAGTTGATAGAGGACCGTAGAGTAAGGAGTTCCAGGATGTAGGGAAGGTTTTTAGTTCTGAGGACTTGTAAAAGGAAAACACCAAAGAGGAATTGTGGTCGGGAAGTAGGATAAATCCACTTCAACTCGGTGTACATGAATGATATATACGAACGCCTTAGATCCCGAAGATGTATCTTATGATTAGATTAGCCTCTCATCTCTTCATTAGTTCTCTTATTTCGGCATTGATCTAAGGATCGAGAGAAAGTCTAAAGATACGTGTTTTTAGAGGTGTGTGACGATTGAGGAAATCGAGGAGGTTGAAGGAAAGGCATTCAACCATGTCATCGATGGAGCGGAGAGAATAAATGGGTTCTAAGGAAGCAAAAAGTGAATAGAGAAAAGGCCTGATGTTCGAAAGAGGTTATAGTTAAGTAAGGAAACGGATAGGAAGAGTATATCAGGTTTGAGCCAAGTTTCAGAAACGGCAATGGTATGATGGAAATTATGGTGAAAATAATCTAGGAATTCGTCATAATGTGCTAGAAGGGATTGGGAGTTAACGTGACAGGATATATATATATATAGTGATAGGATATATATATATATATATATATATATATATATATATATATTGATGTAAAACTTACTTGAGATTGAACATAAAAAAAAGTAAAATCAGATTCAAACTAGAAAAAAGATGTTTCATCTTTCAAAGAAATAATTGAAAAGCAATACGATAAATGAGTATGAACTATAGAAATAAAAAATGATAATAACAAGTTTAAACACTAGAGTGAAAATAAAATGCTTTTGTTGCAAGAAGGTTGGAAGGAACATTGATAAGGTTATTGGTTAATGTTGTGTTTGTTATTGTACAAAAATATTAAGTTCTTTCTGTGGAATAATATAATTATAAAAAAAACTTTATTTAAAGCAAATTTTAATGTTTAACTGGTATTGTACTCAAATCCTAAGAGTAGGAGTTGCACACGGTTGCACAGTTGACAAAAATGCACCATCTAAACATTACTTTCTTTGTACTTTAGTCAAATTTTAACAGATCAATTTTTACAAATAAAATAAAGCTTGGGATATAGTGATATATTATTATTTTCCTCAACTGTATAGTGAAAACAAAATAACTTACAGACATAACTGTATAGTGAAGACATAATTGGTTGCATTATGTATATATTGCTCATATATATTTGCTCGACATTGCATATATATGTATATATTTAAAATTATAAAAAATAATAATGATAATATTTTAAAATTTTACTTACTGCAAAAATCGGACGAGCTAAAAATGTAATGCTATGCATCTATCTTTATAAATACTTACAGTGTGTGGATTTGAAGTTAATTATTTGACACAACTTCACGGTTTTGTTTTGCAATGATTACCAGTATATGCAAGTATCTAAAGCTTACCAACCAATACAGCAATATTTTAATCGAACCATACTTTTCTCGGTTGCGATATACCTCAAAAATAGCTAAAATGGGAAAACAAGTAAATCAAATAAGTTTATTTTCTTAAAATATATCATTCATAAAGTCATCACTCCAGCTATCAACTCAAATATGCACCATTACTAAACTCAGCGCTCATGCCCACGGATCCGTCTCTAAACTGGGCAGAACGATGCTATCGGTAACTGCTCACTGCTAAGTTTATGAACTTGCCAATAGATTTATTCCAAATATGGCCTTGTAACTTGATATTTCATTTTTTTGTTCATTTGAGCCTATGAATTCAAGAGATTGATGTCGTGAATACATAAGTTGAACTTATTTGCCCATCTCTAGAGGATGGGATTGTCTCACTATGTATTGTTGTAATACTGCTGTTCTATAATTCTCAATATATTATCATCACTATTATATTTTTTTTTTTTTTGCATGAATGAAAATCTTACCTACTCTTTCTTCGCTGATTTTCTTGATTATATCAGGGTAGTGAGGAGGTGAGGATTTGTTGAAATGAGCTTCGGTGCCGTGCTAAATAGGGCTTCCTCAGACAGTTGTTGGGGGAGGGGTAACCTGATTATTAATCTGGTCCCAGCGGTGATGAATGAAGATGAATCCTTGATGACCAGGAAACGGGGACTCGAAGGTGAACGCCCTGTCAGAGCGTACTACCGCCCAGCCGGTTGAAGTCATCTTCATTCATCCTCCATCGGTCACATCTACAAAACATTTAATTTTACTATGTCATATTTCGAAACCCCTCTACGATGTTTCCCATTAGAAACATTCATTTCTTTCTTAGAAGATATATTATAATATCATAACCAGAGCCCATACACTAGTGTCACTGAAACGAAACACAATAGTTTCGAAGAGTGTCATTATTGTTAGATAAGGCAAAGATAATTGGAGATATTTTAAAACAATGTGCACTACTAACGAAAACCGAACGAACTTATAGATCCTCCCAATAATTCAAATGATAAAATTGAGGATCGCTAACATTAGCTATGTTATTAGGTAATCAATTTACAAATTTATTGCAGTCTAATGGTAATAATTATATCAAAAGTGCCTTATAGTTATCTTTTGCCCTATAATGATGTATGAACAAATAATTTTATTCTGGGACTTCAGTAGCCTAAGAATAATAGCAGTGTTACAAATTTATGGGTATTAGTCTGGCTTAAAATAATAAAAAATACATACTAATTAACTGCTTTTTGTTGTTGCAATTGTGCAGTAGTTGAAATTAAATAGCATACAGATACAAGTAATTTTACATGTTAGCGGAAGTTTGAATGTGGAGTAGTTGGTGGAACAGGAGTTGTTGGAAGAAATTTGTGGACGAGGATTGACGTATGGAGGTAGGAAAAGAGTTCCAAAAGGAGGTAGCACGACTGACGAAGGATTTACTGAAGGAAGTAGTTTTATGGGAGAGGATATATAAATCTATAGGTTGAGACCTAGTATTAAGAGAGTTGATAGAGGACCGTAGAGTAAGGAGTTCCAGGATGTAGGGAAGGTTTTTAGTTCTGAGGACTTTTAAAAGGAAAACACCAAACAGGAATTGTGGTCGGGAAGTAGGATAAATCCACTTCAACTCGGTGTACATGAATGATATATACGAACGCCTTAGATCCCGAAGATGTATCTTATGATTAGATTAGCCTCTCATCTCTTCATTAGTTCTCTTATTTCGGCATTGATCTAAGGATCGAGAGAAAGTCTAAAGATACGTGTTTTTAGAGGTGTGTGACGATTGAGGAAATCGAGGAGGTTGAAGGAAAGGCATTCAACCATGTCATCGATGGAGCGGAGAGAATAAATGGGTTCTAAGGAAGCAAAAAGTGAATAGAGAAAAGGCCTGATGTTCGAAAGAGGTTATAGTTAAGTAAGGAAACGGATAGGAAGAGTATATCAGGTTTGAGCCAAGTTTCAGAAACGGCAATGGTATGATGGAAATTATGGTGAAAATAATCTAGGAATTCGTCATAATGTGCTAGAAGGGATTGGGAGTTAACGTGACAGGATATATATATATATAGTGATAGGATATATATATATATATATATATATATATATATATATATATTGATGTAAAACTTACTTGAGATTGAACATAAAAAAAAGTAAAATCAGATTCAAACTAGAAAAAAGATGTTTCATCTTTCAAAGAAATAATTGAAAAGCAATACGATAAATGAGTATGAACTATAGAAATAAAAAATGATAATAACAAGTTTAAACACTAGAGTGAAAATAAAATGCTTTTGTTGCAAGAAGGTTGGAAGGAACATTGATAAGGTTATTGGTTAATGTTGTGTTTGTTATTGTACAAAAATATTAAGTTCTTTCTGTGGAATAATATAATTATAAAAAAAACTTTATTTAAAGCAAATTTTAATGTTTAACTGGTATTGTACTCAAATCCTAAGAGTAGGAGTTGCACACGGTTGCACAGTTGACAAAAATGCACCATCTAAACATTACTTTCTTTGTACTTTAGTCAAATTTTAACAGATCAATTTTTACAAATAAAATAAAGCTTGGGATATAGTGATATATTATTATTTTCCTCAACTGTATAGTGAAAACAAAATAACTTACAGACATAACTGTATAGTGAAGACATAATTGGTTGCATTATGTATATATTGCTCATATATATTTGCTCGACATTGCATATATATGTATATATTTAAAATTATAAAAAATAATAATGATAATATTTTAAAATTTTACTTACTGCAAAAATCGGACGAGCTAAAAATGTAATGCTATGCATCTATCTTTATAAATACTTACAGTGTGTGGATTTGAAGTTAATTATTTGACACAACTTCACGGTTTTGTTTTGCAATGATTACCAGTATATGCAAGTATCTAAAGCTTACCAACCAATACAGCAATATTTTAATCGAACCATACTTTTCTCGGTTGCGATATACCTCAAAAATAGCTAAAATGGGAAAACAAGTAAATCAAATAAGTTTATTTTCTTAAAATATATCATTCATAAAGTCATCACTCCAGCTATCAACTCAAATATGCACCATTACTAAACTCAGCGCTCATGCCCACGGATCCGTCTCTAAACTGGGCAGAACGATGCTATCGGTAACTGCTCACTGCTAAGTTTATGAACTTGCCAATAGATTTATTCCAAATATGGCCTTGTAACTTGATATTTCATTTTTTTGTTCATTTGAGCCTATGAATTCAAGAGATTGATGTCGTGAATACATAAGTTGAACTTATTTGCCCATCTCTAGAGGATGGGATTGTCTCACTATGTATTGTTGTAATACTGCTGTTCTATAATTCTCAATATATTATCATCACTATTATATTTTTTTTTTTTTTGCATGAATGAAAATCTTACCTACTCTTTCTTCGCTGATTTTCTTGATTATATCAGGGTAGTGAGGAGGTGAGGATTTGTTGAAATGAGCTTCGGTGCCGTGCTAAATAGGGCTTCCTCAGACAGTTGTTGGGGGAGGGGTAACCTGATTATTAATCTGGTCCCAGCGGTGATGAATGAAGATGAATCCTTGATGACCAGGAAACGGGGACTCGAAGGTGAACGCCCTGTCAGAGCGTACTACCGCCCAGCCGGTTGAAGTCATCTTCATTCATCCTCCATCGGTCACATCTACAAAACATTTAATTTTACTATGTCATATTTCGAAACCCCTCTACGATGTTTCCCATTAGAAACATTCATTTCTTTCTTAGAAGATATATTATAATATCATAACCAGAGCCCATACATGGAGTAAAAAACAACAACAAAATATGGCATATAAGGTGTCGTATAAGTAAAGGAAAACGTTTAAAGAAGATGTATACAGACTTGAAGAGGATAGGCGCATACCTCAGGGAGGGAGAAGGATGATCCCCGCATAACAAAAATATTTAGGGGCGAAAACATCGTTTCGCCCCCCTTTCCGATAATTGTAGTCAAAAAATAATAAGAAATTGATTAAAAAAATAAGTCTATTAGTTGGCTAGGCTAAGGCCTAGAAATAGCTATGTAACTATTTTATAACAACCTAAATGTTACTATTATTTAAATTATCATTATCATAATAATATTTACCAGGATTTTATGATTCCTTCAGCCCTAAAATCATCCCTCTCTCTTCACGTAATATTTATATCACATTTTTGGTGGCAAAGTCGAAAAAATATATTTAATAAGGCTAAGTATAAATATATTTAATGTGAAATGGTTTTCATAGACATTTTTATGTAACTAGTGAGAACGTAAAAACGTATTTTTATTTTGAGATTTTACAAACTAAGAAATCAAAAATATTTATCAGTTTTTTAACATACATTATAGTTGAAAGAGCTTTAGAAATGTGCCAATTATGGGGGCTGTCACTAATCGCCCATGTTCAATGTTTACAAATACGTAATATATTTGGTTGAGTGTTTCATTATTTGGGCTTTAAGGCATAAAACCTCAGGGTCATCAACACCAGTTGGTCATTTATTTTTGTTCATTGGAGTTCCGAAACTCCTCAGGAAAGGAAAAGGGAAAAAATATAACAATAATTAATAATAATAATAATAGGCTTAGCAAACCCGAAGGGTTGATGCCGAAACCATCAATCACTTATTACACACCTCCCTCCACCTTTAGCCTTCTAAACCTCTAGTCCCTTCCGATCGGCTTTTTAAAAAAAAAAAAAAATGTTATTTAGTATTACAACAATCAGTCACATGGGCACTAGTTATAGTGAGGTAGTATAACATTCACACTATATCTACAAAAAATATAAAATAAATAATAGCAAAATAACAATAAATAATACTCAAAAAGTATATACAATAAACAAAATAAGATAACCTAAAAATAAGAAAATGAAAACTAAGCAAAAAATACATGTATACCTATATACACTATTTACAATCAGGCGAGTGAACTCCAGGAGAACCCTCTCAATTGCCTCTCTCAACTGCCTCACTGGTACTAAAGCCAGCGGAGATTGATCGAGAGCACTTTAGCCACATACACTCATATTGTGATAATGTTGTTATATCATGGGAAAAATATGTCAGCAAAAAAGTGTTGACACAATGTTATTTATGCCAAGAATATAATCACGTAGCTCGAAACTGCTTCAAAAAACCCGTTGCCTTAAGTGCTCCGAGGAACACTTATCAAGAGACTGCCCTAATATCATACGCGAAGACTTCGTCCCGAAGTGCAGCAACTGCAATGAAAGTCATTTCTCAAATTACGAAAAATGCCCACACTTCATACGAAACCAGCAATTGAAGCTCAGTAAACAACGACCAACCATCCACCCTTCACAACGAAAAATATTCAAGCCAAGACAAAATGATTTTCCTTCCTTACCAAAAACAGACTCAAAATGGTTTCAAAAAACATTCTCAGACAATATTAGTGGAAATAATCCTTCTAATAACGATCCATCTATTACTGAATGTTTGAAAGAAGTTAAAAATATTTTCAAACTTTTTAACTTAAATAAAATAATCAATAAATTTAAAAATATTGTTTCTGAAGTAAAATCGGCAGAAGACAGCATGTCAAAAATATTTATTGTAATAGAAGGGTTATTATCATTAATTGATCAACAGTCAAGAGTTTAAAATGCTTAAAATAGGCTTAAGATGCTATTTATGTAATATTTTCTTATTTATTAGTGTAATATCACATATTGTATACTTTAACTACAACATTCCCCTGTGTACTCCTGACCTTAAAGTGAGTACAATCAAATGTAAATACACACCTACCATGAAAACAGTCAACACTTTCACATCAACTTCCGAACCTATGTATACTAAATTGCTATTGTTTATATTAAGCAAAACATGTCTTAATACTCAAACAAAAACAATATTATACCTTATATATCGTAAACTAAAACATTCTGACGACTTATTAATATTCACGTATTTTTAACTATATGTTTTGTTTCTTCCATTTGTGTATTATTATTTTTTTTACTATTGCTTGTATATTAGAGATTATGTAATATTTTTTTTTATTCATAATAAACAATGATAGACGACATTTAAAATTAATGATGTGGAATACCCAAACACTTCGCCGAAATGATATAGAATTCAAGCAATTTCTACATCAAAATCAACCCCATATAGTGTCAGTAAGCGAAACTCGTTTATCTGCTCAAGACCGATTCTCAGCCCCTGGCCACACTGTTTACCGAAAGGACAGGAACAGAGCAGGCGGGGGGGTTATGATACTTGTGCGTTCAGATCTACCGCACGTTTACAGGCCGATTGATAATTTAAAATACGGGGAAGCGACTGCAATTCAACTTAAGGTCAAAAACAAAATTATTAACACAGTTGCAGTTTATATCCCTCCGAATAAAATAAATACACATGACCTTAGAGTTATGTTTAATATCGGTAAACACACACTCATTTTCGGGGACTTAAATGCAAAAAAATTACAATGGAACTGCCATAACACGAATAAAAATGGAAAATTATTATTAAATTTTATATCACGGATAAATATTGAATTGCATGCTCTAAACGAGCCAACTTATATACCAACTCAGAAAAAATTCAAATCTATTTAGCCCTCACCAAAAATATTTCTCATGTTTCTCGGCTTAACTCCGTACCATGTCTTAGTTCGGACCAGAACCCGGTGACCTTTCGATTGGAAAATAAAACCATAAAAATCAGCACGATCCCAAAATTCAATTACAAATTGGCTAATTGGGAAAAAATCTAGATATTAACCCCGTTATAATTAAAAACTCCGATATAGATTTGATCATCGATACATTTATGGAGACTGTCAACACTGACATGATAAAATCAATTCCACAGGTATCCTGTCAATATAAACCCGACAACATACCTCCCCAACTACAATTTAAAATAAATTCCGGAAAAAATACCAGCTCACCAGGAACATAAAGTATAAATGCCTCTTTAACAAATATAATGCCTACGTAAAAAATCGTTTAAACAGTTGGAGGAACTTAAAGTGGTAGGAAACTCTTAGAGAACTGCCCCCTGGTAGTAAACATTTTTGGAAAATACACAAAATTCTAACAAATCGTCCCCACCATATCCCTCCAATCAAACTAGCAAACCATTTCGCCTATTCTAATACATAGAAGGCAGAAGCCATGGCAAACTATTTCACATTAGCATCTAATATTTCGGCTGATCTAGGCACCAACAACCAGAATCGAACGAGAGAGAGAATCACTTTATTATCATAAAATAAAATAAAATGGTGCTGCCATTTAATTTAAATCAGTAAAAAACTTTCTCAAAGAACCAGTTCCAAATACATTTTCTTCAATCTCATTCAAAGAGGGGAAACAGGTTATAAAGCAGTTAAAAACTAAAAATTACACACAGACGGACTAAACACATACTACTAAACGTCTAAATCAATCAATTTATTTGTGAAAATTTAACGGTTTCTTATCTATCGCCAAACAAGTAACAATAAACTCAATCACCCCAATCAACAAATTGTATTTATAGGATATGTGTGTGT